CCAGTTCCAACCCTCTGACATGGGCAGGGACACTGCCCACCAGAGCAAGTTGCTCAAGGCTTCATCCAACCTGGCTTTGCACACTGCCAGGGTTGGGGCATCCACTATTTCCCTTGGCAGCCTGTGCCAGTGTCTCACACCCTCCCCTAATAGCTAACTTTCCCCTAATATCTAACCTAAATTTCCTCACCTTCAATTCAAACTCATTACCCCTTGTCCTCTCACTGCAGTTCCTAACAAACAGTCCCTCCATCTCCAGATGCTACCACAGTAGTTGTAGCAGATCACTGCTGCTGTTTTGCAGGGTGTAAATTAGCTGTGTGTATGAGTAGAGATACTATACTTTGATATGAGGGATATCTTAGAAACAAAATGCTGGGGGGTTTTTGCTCTGTGTGCAGAGCACATGAGAACAGTGACAACTCCAGTAGCCAGTGTCTGTGGTGGATGTGATGCCTCTGCAGTGTTCTTCACAGCAGAGCTCCCTTTGCTCCTGTTGTAATAATCTTTACTTTTTCCTTTCCCCAGAGTGAGGCAGAAGTGAATCCCAAAGCTTACCCGCTGGCTGATGCACAGCTCACCAAAACACTGCTGGATCTTGTGCAGCAATCCTGCAACTATAAGCAGCTACGCAAGGGAGCCAATGAAGGTGAGACCTGTGTGTTTGCAAGGTGTGCTGGAAGTCATAGCAAGGATTTTGTGAGATGCTGTGGCTAGAGTTTGTCTGTTCTCTGTAGCTGTGAACCACTCATTTTATGTAGATCTGACTATTGGTGGAGTCGCCATCGCTGGAGGTGTTTAAGGAGAGACTGGACATGGCACTTAATGCCATGGTCTAGTTGACATGGTGGTGGTTAGGTCACAGGTTGGACTTGATCTCAGAGGCCTTTTCCAGCCTGACTGATGCTGTGATTGCAAGTGTGTATCTCCTTCCTCCTCCTCCTTGCTTGCTTAAGCAATATTCAGGGAAAGAACTAAGCTGTAATATTTTGAACATTTATATGCATTTCTGGTAGATTGTCAAATGGTTTTCCTGGTGCATGTCCTGTGATCATGTGGTGTGGCACTGGGATTACCAGATGTTTAGCTAGTTCAGAATGATGAAAAGATTTGGGTTTGAGGGTACCTCTAGTGCACCCAGCTCAGAGAATGGCTCCCTTTGCAGTTGCTAGGGGCTTTGCCTAGTCAAGCCTTTACAAACTCCTAGTCCCTAAGGAGAGAAACTCAATAATCTGTTAGGACCCATGTGCCATGGCTTAAATGCCTCTTATGGCGGTGGGAGGGATATAAAACTCCAGCATGTCCCTGGAATCTTGCTGAGGCAACAGTCACAGTCTGCAACTTGTGCTTTTTACTGTGCACTCACAAGGACAGTGTGACTTCCATCTTCTCTGCAGTCTCCCCGAAGTAGAATACAGCAGCCATGCTCCCCTCACTCCCACCTCAGCCCTCTTTTCTCCAGGCTAAACTAACTCTCAGTCTCCCCTCCCCTCATGGTGTGCCCCAGCCCTGTACCCATGAGCAGCCTTGGGCTGGCCTCACTCCACTGTGCCTGAGGGTAATGCTGGGCACAGCACCCCAGCTGCAGCCCTTGGAATAACCTGCTCCCCATCCCTACAGCTGCTACTTTCCTTTGGCTGTCCTCATGCTACCACTAGGTCTCCTTCCCACTCAGGCCGATTTCAATATCTCCTAAAGCTGTTTTTCATTAGCTGTGTGTACCAGAAGGACTGACTCTGCTTTCTTTTTCCAGCCACCAAAACACTGAACAGAGGGATAGCAGAGTTCATTGTGATGGCAGCAGATGCAGAGCCCTTGGAGATCATCCTGCACCTCCCTCTTCTCTGTGAGGACAAGAACGTACCTTACGTGTTTGTGCGCTCCAAGCAAGCCCTGGGCCGGGCGTGTGGTGTTTCCCGGCCTGTCATCGCCTGCTCCATCACCATCAAGGAGGGATCACAGCTAAAGCCTCAGATCCAGTCTGTCCAGCAAGCTATAGAAAGACTGTTGGTCTAAGTGCCCATGAGTTTTAAGTGTGTGTGGAATAGGCTAGTTGAAGTTAGGGGAAATTAATGTTTAGCTTCGGTTGAGATGATAGTTTTGATATCAGTGTTTCATTTTAAAATGCCACATTTTTGTTTAATAATGGCTTAATTCTTGGTGTTTCTGCTTCTTCTCCCCCCTCTTTTCTATTATCCCACTCCAGCACATTCAATCTCATTGTATGACTTCTTGAAACATGATTGTACAACTGTATTTCCTGGTTTTATGTTTAAAACTAAGAGAAAAAAAGTTCCCCTTATCTCCCTGCTCAGGGCTTTTTTAACCCACCCATCAGTTTTCTCTGTGTTGCAGTATTTCTGCTAGACTTCAGGCTCCAGCAGGTGTAACTCTGTATTTCTGAACAGTTGAAGCTGCTGAGGAAGAGGCACGTTGGTTCCCCACACAGTGTGCTTGTGGAGGCTGCTGGAGTCCTTAAGGGACAGAGCACCGAGGGCTGTGTAAGGGAGCAGCTACTGTGTAGCAGGAGATGGAGCCAAGATTCAAATGCATAGCACAGCCAGAAACCAGACAAGAGACTTCACTAAGAGATGTATGGGGAGCAGAAACCTTATGGCAGTGCACAAGGGGAGATCTCTTACTCGCTTATTTTTTAAATACTGACTTTTTAAGAAAAATAAAATTGCTGGCAAAGCTCAATATAATTGTCATTCCCTTGGTGAAGCATTTGCAACTAACTGAAGTGTTTCTGCTTGTAAAGCTAAACTGCTCAGAGATTGCCTAGACGCTATTGCAGGGCAGTAAATCATACTCCTTCGGTTTTCTTGGCATGGACTGTATCACTGAGCTTGGACTTCCTAGGGGAGTTAAGTACAAAACACATGGTAGAGAACAGCCTGCTGTGGCTGACAGGTACCCTACATCTGGCTGGTAATTATAGAAAGTGTGCCATGGTTTTTAGTTACTGCACTGTAGTCACCTGAGTGAAGATGAACCCTGAAAGTCATAGCCAAGAAAACAGCAACTAATTTTCCCTATAAATCAACCTGTGTTTCAAGAAGAGAATGGTAGATCATCTCATATTCTGGAAAAGCATGGAGCAGCACCATCATTCTGGATTAGTAGTGGTTTTATGGAGCTAGCTTTAGTTACATGCACATTGTCTAACAAATCCACTTACTGCTCTGAGCAGATCTAAATCCCTGTGTTGGAATAGATTATGTCAAACCTGTTTCCTATTGCAGAATGCCAAAGCAAAGCTAGTGTGGAGACACCAAGAGATGCAATAGCAGAAGGGAAAAAAAGTTTTCCTTTCCACAGAGGCACTAACTTCATACCAGTAGTAAGTACATCTCAAGAAGATGAAATCGAATAACTGAAGACATGTCTGTATATTTTTGTAAATGGCTAATAATAGTAACCCTTGCTGAGGTGAACTTAATACAAAGATTTTAGAGTCCTTTCGTTTGTATGAGGTTTAGAGAGGCTGCTGTTCCCTTCTACTGATGTTGACTGTTGAGCTAGTTGTGTTTAAAACCACAGCTTTGCAAAGGATTTGCCCTATTGTACCAAGACAGCTGATATAAGACAAAGCACATAAAGAGCAGAAATAAAGGATCCTTGAGCAAGCAAAACTGTCTCTTTCTCTGCTCTGAAGCCTTCCATCACTTTTAAACTTATGCTTAATGTGATAGCCTGCTATTAAAAGCCAGGAGGAAAAGCTAATAACCTAGAACACGCCAGAGTCATCCAAAGCCTGGAACATACTGTGCCTGGGGGTTAGCAAGCCAAGAGAGAAGTTAAGGGTATTGTGGAATTAAATTCACAGAATTATGGACTGGATGGTCTCACTGTTTCACTGCATTCAAGTCAAGCCTTGCTAAGACAAGCATTTACAGTGACTTCTTACTGAAGGGCAAAATAAATTGATTGCTTAGACAAATCTTTATTAAGAATAACTACTATAATATAGGCTGGTTGAAAGTGTAAGATTATGTAGCTTCAATACTGCAGAGCTCAAGGTGGGCCAGCTGCTGTCTTGAGAGGAGCTGTGGAGGTAGAAGTGAGCGGTGTGCTGGCACAGCTAGGAAGGCCACAGTGCCAGAAGTCACAGCTGGCTCCAATACGTGTCCCACACTACAGCACCAGCACAACCTTAATATACAACTTCAGTAAGTCACCTGATAGTTGATGTGCCAAGCACAGGAATCTCTGAACACCAAAAACTATGCAGACCAAAATGGACTCCTCAGGTATCCCATGTTTGCATCCCATAGAAAGTTAAGGGTTTCATTAAACAATTAGTTTCCTAGAGCAAGGGCAACAATTGCCTACTGGTTTTAGTCATCTTGTACTGCAAGATAAGTGGGGCATGCCAGGGATGGAAGTCTAAAAACCAAAACAGCTCCAGTTACAGCTTCCATAAGTATGATGAAAAAAGTAAAACTGCTGTATATAACAAGGACGACTCTCCACACCTTGCTACTTTTCTATTTTTAAAGCACAGATTTGACTACAAGAACCTGCACAATAGTCTGAGTCATACTCACTACAGAGGTGGGAAAGCTCTACGCCATCTCCTTAATTTAATTGGGGTAAGTGCTTGCAGACTTCCAGGGAACACAATTCTTTTTCCTTTTTTTAAACCAGCTTTTGCTGTTACCATTTAAAAATGGAAGACCTGGATGTGCAGCTTTGTGAAGGGCTAGCTTTTGGCCCAAAGGATTGGCTACTGCTTCCCAGTAATGATTTTCTCCCTTTATGACCTGCTGGTAATCTTTATAATGCCGATGGTGGAAAAGAATCCTATTTGATTACTGCTACTGATACTGTCTGTTTTGGAGAGCAGGAGAGTCATATCCCACATTTATACCCTCTGTTAGGACACAGACTCAACCTGCTGCTTGAATACATCTGGTGCCACTAACAGAGATAATTCTGTTTTCTTATACTGAAGCGAGTTTTGCTGTCTTTATGATGCAAAGATGGTATAGTCAGTGTTGCAAAGTAAGAAATCCAAAATAACTTTTATTAAGAACCAGGAAGGTACAACTCTGCTCACAGGCAGTGGGTGACCTGAGTTGGCAGAGAATTCTGCCTTTGGCTACTGTCAACAGAATCCAACTTTGCAGAGATGTTTCACAACTAAGAGTAAAAAGTTTTCCACTGCTACACAGAGCAACATTTTGTTACCTTCTCTTCTATTGCAAAGTTAGACAGACATGGAATCCATGTAAGACAGCCAAAATTCTAAGCAGACAAAAGTCAACCAGCACCTTCTGCTCCTGCTTAGCGCTAATTAAAGTATTTAATTAAAGCATCCATGAGCTCCTGCTTCTTGCCTCCACCCTTCAGCCCCAAAAGCCTGCATGCATCCTTCAGAACAGGTACAGTGAGCTTGCCTAGAGTGCCCTTCTGCACATGATGCCACAGCTCATCTTTTGAGACTTCTATCTTGGGCTTCTTTTCAGCTTGACTGTCAGAAGCTAGAACGATAAATTTTAGATCACAAAGATTTTTTAAAGTTTCTTAATAGAAAGACAGCAATGTTTCTTATACATACCACAGTTAATGGGCACTAGCACATGGTACTTTAACAGCTACCTACACACTCACCCAGTTTCCATGTTTTGTTTTAAGGAACAGGTGTCACTCAGTACATAAGTCATGTAGAATTTCATTGATAGGAGTGATCCTAACTGAAGTATGAAACTTTGTTTTCTGATGGAAAGATCACCCTCCAAATGAAACTTTTAAGGGATACTCATGGAGATGGCAGAACGCAGTGATTACACAGGGACCTCAGCTAATCAAAACTCTCACTTTATGCAGACTCTCACAGACTCCCAAACCACATGTACTTCAGCATTACTTACACATTTAGCCCTAAAGTTGCCCATCTTGGACTTGCTAAACAGCCCATGCATAAAAATTTACTCCTTCACCAACACAAACTGAAAGCACGCATTATTTTACTACTCTGTCATAAAACACAAAGTTATTAAAATTATATACACATATTTTGAAGTCTTACCCACATTGCTTCCTATATTTCACTACGCAGTTTCTCATTCCAGCAGTTCTCCAACTGGATACCACAATATCCTCTACTCTCTAAGAATCAACACTGGGTATAAATCCACTTCATTGTGGAGATCAGTAAAAAGAGTTCTTGCACAAGCAGCTTTGTTAAACTATGAGACAAACTGAAAACACAGAGGCTTCTAAACAGGAATCTGACACAATGTTGTGTGTCTGCATTGCCATTACTTACCTTGTTTCCGCTTTACAGCCTTCCCATCAGGATTGTAGTCAGGGGGATAAACCAGCTGCTTAAACTCCTCCACCAGGCTGCCCAGCCTGCTGTTCATCTGTTCATACTTTGGCACTGGCAAAAGATAAAGATTTGCCCTCTCACAGAGTGATCACAGGAAAATCTAAACAAGGCCAACACCAGATACAACTGTGCTTCTGTAGCTACTAGTCTGCACGTGTCTCGTAAGCACGCAAAATACAAATACGTGCTATGACATTCCCAAATGAGAAATTTATAGCTCCCGGTAATATCAAGCGTTTGAACATCTGGAGTACTGTGCTCAGTTCTGGGCTCCCTCACTGGAACTGTCTGGTCACAATCCTGTGCCATGTGCTCTAGGATGACCCTGCTTGAGCAGAGAGGTTGGACCAGATGACCCAGTGTGGTCCGTTCCAGCCTGACCCATTCCATGATTATACATATGTAACAGACTTGCACGTTTCCCTGCAGAACAAAACTTCCACTCTGTGACACAGAAGATCTACCTGGTTGCACTGCTAGCAGGTCTGATCTCAGAATTACTATCAAAGGCTGCGAGTACTTTGAGGCAGAACAGCTTGTTCTGCCATGTATTTGCATGATATCTAGCACAGGGACCTAGGTTATTTGTTAAGTATTACTTCATAAGAGACAAATAATTCTTCTAACACCATTCCAGGAGTACAACATGATGTTGAAAAAGGAACTTCCCCTTCAGGAACAGGTTTCTACCCCTTGACAAGACAGTCTTACATATAAACTCTCACAGTCAAAAGGTGGCAGCATTGCCCCCAGCAGAATAACTCCCCTAATTCTACCCATTTATCACACTGAATTATTAATGGGAATCTTGGAGAGAGTAATTTCAGAGAAAACATTCGTCACCATAGAAAAAAGGTGATTCAATTTTCATTTTGGAGGGTAAAGTGAGCAGTTTTTTCTTTACCTTAAAAACACTGGAAAGTAAGGCTTCGATATTTCAAAATGGACACGCCCAGAATTCCACACTGTGGAACTGCACAGAGCTAAAATATTTTTAAAAAGACATCTGGGTTTGTAGTAGCACATATTTGACTTGGAACAAAGTCAAGAGTCCTCTACCCCACCTCCCTTCGCACCCACCAATAATTCTCACTTGTAAGATCCTCAGCTTGTTCTGGTTCCGTCATATCCAGCGCCAAAGCCTCCAGATTCCTAAAGTGCTGCTGCAAAACTGGGTTCTCAAAGCTGTCAGTCCTGTCAAAAATCCCCCAAAATGTCAATGTATGCTGCCAAGACGACAGACAAAACACTGAAGATCTACAACCAACTTATTTCAGAATAAAACTTCCCTCTTTCCCACGCAACAATCCATCACATTAGAACTGCTTTTCCTCTTTTCAGTTTACCTGCTGAATCACTATCCTGTCATGTATCAACCACATTAGAAAGGTGTGTGAGAGTTAGAAACCTGTACAAGGCTAAAGGAGACAGCGGCATTCTGCTTTAATAACAGCCATGCTGCTTTCCACATACCTAGGGAATAATCTCCCATGAAAATACTTCACAGCATTTATCCAAGCTATAACAAAAAAAAAGGCTTAACTATTCTTTCTAAAGTGCTCCAGTTTAAACCATCCAGGTCTGATCTGCCATAAAGAGGCAGAACCACAATAAAATGTGATACCTCTGCAACAAATGACAACAGCACAGAGAACAAGAGCAATTCTATAAAGAACTCCAGAATGTGCTATATAAAGCATTGTGGTGCCTGGGCATCCAGAATGATTAAGACTAAAGTTTGGACAAAGCTACTGCAAAGAGAAGCAATTTCTACCAAAATACATCAAAACCTCATCTCGTGGACACCATGGCTGAACAATGTGTGCAGCAGAGCAAGCAAGAGCTGTGCTTTCTTGCCCGTGCCACCCCCTGCACACTATTTATCTCCAGGTACCTGTATTTGAAGCGGAGTTTTTGAATTATTTCCTTCATCTTGTCCACCTGCTCTTGACTGGCTGGTACCTTCTCTGTGAAATCAACATTCCGTTTGTCATCTGCATATGGCAGAAAAATGACATGGAAACCTGTAAAGAGAGGGAGCAAGAGAACAGTTATACAAAAACACAGCCTCAAAACAATAACTTACGGGAAAGACCAAGATGCTCATTATCTAAGCCTGATGACTTCAAGCTATTTTGTTGTAAACAACAGCAATACATAATACTTCCTAGTTCCTACAGCAGGACACTTGATCCTCATCTCAATGTACATAACCAGCATCACTAATGGCTTTCTGAAAGAGATTCAAACTAAACACATAACTAAGAGATGGATAGCTTGCTTTTTATGCAGGAAATCATAGAATCATGGAATTTTAGGCATTGGAATGGACCTTACAGATCATCTAGTCCCAACCTCCTGCCATGGGCAGGGACACTTCCCACCAGAACAGGTTGCTCAAGGCTTTATCCAACCTGACTCCGAACACTGCCACGGTTGAGGCAGCCACAGCCTCCCTGGGCAACCTCTGCCAGTGTCTCACCACTCTCACAGGAAAAATTTTTCTCCTAATATCTAACCTAAATTTTCCCTGTTTCAATTTGTACCCATTGCCCCTTGTCCTGTCACTGCAGCTCTTAACAAAGAGTCCCTCTGCAGCCACCCTGCAGCACCTTCAGATACTGAAAGGTGCTATGATGTCTCCACGCAACCTTTTCTTCCCCAGGGTGAACAGAGATGAGCTAGTCCTCCTTCCCCATCTTACTGGATACGAGCTTGAAAAAGATCTGTTTGAAAGTAAAGTTACTGCGCACATATTATTCTGAAATGCTTTACTTTGTACACAAGCAGTGTTATTTCCCTACTTCCCAGAAGATGATTTTCCCCTCAAAGTGGTGAGAAAAAGCAGAACAAGAGTTTGCCTTTGGTCCCTAATCTTGCCCCACCTGGCTTATGAGACACTAGGCTCAGTATGTGACATTATTTATTTAATACTTTAAAGTATATTCAAGGATACAATAAAATCCAGGGAAAGACATTCTGTCTAGTCACCAACCAGAAAAAGGGGCTTTTAATTTTTAACTCAGTTACATGAATCTGCCAAAAAGGAATAGGAGGCAGGGAAAACACTGTAGCCAGGTCATACCAGAGCAAGCAGAGATGCAGCTGAGGTTTTACAAATAGATTCGACATCAGATGCTTACAATGACAAAACAGAAGAAAAGGGAGGTTGGCAAGTACTGTCCCAGTTTTAAGGGGAGCAGTGGTAAGAGTATTCTCACTCAATACAGGACACTATTATGCTGACTGCATCCAGTTGTGCAGGGAAAGGTGACATCTCTTCCCATACCTGGAGGGGCTATCTGCACTTTCTGCTCATCCATCTCTTCCTCCTGAGGAACCAGGGCCACAAAGCGAGGAGGGAGGTTCCGGCGAGCGATGTATCTGCACAGCATCATCATCTCCCTCTCCAAGCATTTCATCAATAAGGCATTAAATAGTGTTGTACTCCCTGCAACGTAGAGATTGCACAGGTCAGGCTGACAGCTTTGGTCCTTTGTTCAATAATGCAACCCTAGACATTACGGTTTCAAAACCTGTGACTTCTTTGAAATGCTTGCAATATCACAGAAGTAAAAAAGCAAATTTTGAAAGGGGGAACCCTCAAAATGGACAATGTTAGTCTGTCTCTCCTGACCAGAGCAGTGAGAGTTCTGGTGGAAGAAATGAAATCACCAGCATCCGAGCAATCAAATACAGTGAAATTTGGAAACAGGTATCTACAAAGTCTATTTCTGTTTGGTGGGACATCACAGGAGCAGCATATCATAGGACCTTTTGCAGAAGCAACCAACTAAGAATTCAGATTTCAGTATCTCTCCTGAGGCACGTGTTTGCTTTATGTTATACCAGGAAAAGGTGGTCAGGAAAAGGCTGACATACAAGTAAAGTGTCTCAGACAAGAAACTGCAAAGCTGGAGAAACCAGCGTAAAGATTCTTCTTTAGCCTGATGCTGCAAAGCATCTGGTCATAACTCAGCCCTCTTTTATCCACTGGTAGATTGAGGAGAAAGAGGGTTTTTCTTTAGTATTGCAGCTTGAGATACATTTCTAGATAAGCAGACTTTAATATACACATAAAAAGGGAAAAATAAGCAGTGCTAAGCATCCTCTCCTTCTGTCTTTACAAGCTCATGAAGTTTTGCTAACTCAACCATAGTTCCTGAGCATTATGTTTCCACTCCTAGTTGATATGGACTTAAAAACAGCAATTATCTTCAGTGGTTTGGTGTTTGGTTTTTGGGTTTTTTTAACTACTTTTGCCTTCTTTTCAGGTACTAGGATCCTTTGCTTTCCTTCACCTTCATGAATGACAAAACCAGATAGTTTGTGACTACATCTGCATGGTTCAATTAGCTGCTTGTAATGATGGCTGGAACATGAAGCCCAATTGGCTCTTCTGCTATTGAAAAAAACCAGAAATAACTGCAGCTGAGAGGGGCAATAACAGTTAATTCACTACTTAACATTAGCAAGTTTTTAAGTTAGACAAAGATTTTACACTGAATGATCCCCATTCAAACACATGATGAGTCACTTGGTTACCCTAATGCAAGGTGGTGAATCTTCTCTTGCTATCTCTACTTACCCCTCACCAGGGACTCCTCAGGATAGATGAACTGCGAGGGCCTGATATGGTGGTGCTGTTTTAGCATTGAAAGTGGTTTGAAGCCAACCAGAAATAAGCCTGGAGAACCAAACTGCTTTAGTTCTTCCGTTTCCTCTTTCTCCAGCACAATCTGTCGGTTTCCATATGTCTAAACCAGGGAAGAGCAGATGATAGTGCTGCCAGCATGAAGAAAACTGGGGGGGGTAAGGGGAGTGCCCCAAAGGTAGTATGCCTTTAGTTTGGTAAACAGGTCCAACTCCCCTCGTGAGTCACATTTGTATGCTTAATAAAATGGACAAACTCTGTTCCTAATGAATCAAAAGATGACAGCAGCAGCAATAGCACAGGGTCACATAGGGTCAGGCTCTGACAACCCAGTTCTGCCTTACAGAAAGAAATGACCTGTGTTCCTGAGTGCATTTCCACCAGAGGCTATGCTTTCCCTTGACAGTCAGGCTGGAGAAACAACCCACTCTCACTCTGCAGAGCTCACAACGTGACCAGGCTGTCCCCAGGGGCATACAGATGCAAACATTTCTGCATCTGATCTTGCAAATGGAATACAAACAAAAGCAGCAGGAGAATCAGCATCTCCCACACACCTCACAGAGACAGAAAAAAGCAGACTCATAATCAGTATATTACCTGAGCTCTTTTTGTGTCATTAGGTAGAAGCAAGCTGCCTGTTTTTCCATTAAACGTCCTTGTTTTTGTTTTAACTGGTTCGTTAGTTTCCCGATAAAGCTTTACTGGATATGGCTTATAAGCTTTGCGAATAAGGTTGTAAACACCAACAGAAAGCATCACGTCATCGCTCAGATGCAGATTTAACCTGTGTAAAAAAGCAGATACAGACTTGAGACTCCTTGAAAATCACTATTACATGAGAAAGTCACCTCCTCAGGTAACTTATTTTGTCTGACCTCCTCCTGTTCTCCTCCCTCCAAATTACATGTGTGTTTGGAAACACACTATCACTTGAGTCATCATCTCACTTGTATAAAAATACTCTTCAATGCCATCACTTCTGGTCATAAAAATTATCTGAACACAGATAATTTACTATATTTCTTTTACCTTTTCTGTCACTCTGAAGGGCAGCTGTGCTCAAGCAGAGCACAGGACAAGTTCACATTTGGGTACTCAACTTGTGCTTAATGTAGTGTGACCTCTGAATTCTCACAACTGTTCACGCAGAAGGTAAAATTCCCCAAAAGAACCCCATCAAGACAAACAATACCACAATTTAAGAAAAAAATATAATCAGAAGTCAGAGAAAAATTCAGAAGTAAAGGTTTAAAATCAGAGATAATCTTCACATTCTGAGAGCAAAACAGTGAAACCTCCACTCTTCCAAAAGGTATCACTGGTACAGGATTCTTCCTCCTCCATTATTAGAAAGCTTGAGGAATATTCCCAGAATAGGAAAATAAAGCTGAGGGCAGAAGCAAGAATGCTAGTGACAACACCTCAGGTCGGCATACTTTTTAAAGTATTTATTTGAAAAAACCACCTGGCCTTGAGAGACCTCAAAGATCATTGAGTCCA